ATTTTTATCTCCAGGTCTGCTCAACCCAACTTTCAGGAGAGAAACTTGACATGCATTAACAAGGCTGACTAAGTGAACCACCTCTGGTTTGATCAGATGCAAATATATTCATTACTGCAGTGGTAGAAGCAGCTGATACCTATTATTTAATGAATTTTTAAGAATTCTAAACTATTAAGCAGTCATCCTTTTAATGTGATTGACATTTAACACAATATGTAGACCCTGGGTTTCTGCTCTTACTCAACAGGTATTTCAATTTACTGTGTTTTTCCAGGTGGCTGTCTTTGGAAATCTGCTTGGTTGTAATTAGCTGAAACATGGTTTACTGAATTTACCCAATTACCTGTATTTGCATAATACACTGATCCATAATCTAACAAACTATAATTTAGCCTAGTGGGTTGTGCAAACTCAGAGAAATTTTAAAACTTTGGGCAACTCTTTTCTAGCCTAATGCCTCTTTATCTGTTAGACAACAACTCCCATCATCCCCAGTCAGTACCACCAATGCCCATCCCTGTGGGTGATGACAGAAATTGTATTTCAACATTGTTTGTTTGTTTATTGAGTGAGTGTATGGCACAAATTAAATGGATAGCAGCTGCAAAGATGCATGGTCAATTTTGTTAAGTATAAGAGATTCAAGAAGTTATATACTGAATTACAAATTGCATGTTAAAATACATTGGTTCATAAAAATATAAGTATTCTATATATTAATATCTAGGCCATTTATCCAATTAAGCACAATATTTGTTAATTTGTACACATTTAATAGGGAAAGACAGGGCTGGTGCAGAAAAGGTTTAAAAGTTCAGCTTAGGATATATTGTAATCATTTTATTTTAACAAGGATAAAAATACAAAAAACCCAATTATAACTATCCTAAGCTAGAATAATAGAACATTAAAAGAGCATTGGAATATAACAATTTTAATAGTACCACATTCAAACCTGGTGGAAAACAAAATTAACTCAGCATTTCATGGCTTAAACATCTTTCTAGAAACGTGAATAGATAGACAATATTTTCTGCCTCCAAGGGCAATACAAGATGCCCATCTTTGCCAGCATATGTTCATCCCTATCTACTAACATTTCTCCATCCAGTATTACATAGCCAAAAGTCCCCATAATCTGTTATATAATTTATTTAAGACAGCAAAATCCATAACTTGAATTGAGTCCCTAGTCAAATCATACAAGAAAATATTTCATAGTTCTTTCATGCTGGTAGCTTTTATAGCTTGTTTATTTATATGGGAAGGATTGACAAGAAGCACTTCACTGCCTAAAGCAATTGATTAAATGGTGTCCCTTCCCCATGTCTCATGCAAGAGCTGACTGTATTGGGAAATAATATCATAGCAATTTCTACCATTCCTTAGTACTACTACTACAGCCATGTCGGGAGCACCAAAGTGCTTCTGGGTTGAAAGGATTGGACAGTGACATCACCGTTGCCCAGGGAACACCCAGCTGGGGCTTCTTTCACATCCCTGTTAAGTTATTCATGAAGTAGTACCCATTAATTTACTTGCAATCACCCATTTTTGAACTGCTGAGTTGACAGAAGCTGGAGCTTCTGTGATGGGAACTCACCCTGTCCCATGGCAGCAACAGGGTCTTGAACATGAGTCTCCTGGTCATCAGCCCAGTGTTCTAACCTTGTGAGCTACCATGCTCCTCTTACCATACCTTAGTAGATGGTTTGGTTTTAATTTGGTCTGTCCTGCTTCCCCGCTAGACAGAATCTTTCCTCTGAAGGCTTAGGAAGACCAGCCTTCTATCATTTCATGTATTTGTATTGATAGAACTGCAGGAAAGGGAATTCTCCAGAATATGACTGATGAAAGTTAGCAGCAGACAAATTACTAACCTACATCTTGGTTTATAATATAAGGTAAATAGTTATGGACCTAAGTATCAACAAAAAAAGTCTTAAGCTAAGGTTCCCCCTTAAAGCAAAATAATTTCAGCACTACCCTGTTTTTGTGCTTTTATTTGAGTTATAAAATTGGCTATTCTAAATAAATATATTATGTCTTAAACATAAAGAATTTATATTTTTTTTTCAATCTTCATCTGTCCATTCCAGATGAAATGTAAAATGAGATGAGATGTAAAAAAAAAAAAAAGGTGCTGGAACTCATACATGTCATACAACCCGCCTTGCCTACCCTACAAGGTTCCCTCCAAAAAAGGTGCCGGAACTCCATTCTGGATGTTCTATGACAAAAAAAGCCCTGGTCCATTCTCTGACAATTGTTTGAAAAAAATCAATTTAAACGTTAGCATTCTTGAAGTGAAGAAAGAGAACCACTTTATTTTTAAATGCACTACCCATTCATAAAAAAAAAAAACACGAGAACTTCTCGACCATTCATTACATAATGGAAGTCCCTAATCACAGATATTGTAGCTGGTAATTAGACGATGCAGCATGACTCAACAATTGCTGTTTTAAATACAAGAACTGTATCTATATCAAGTTCTAGTTTTTACAGCTAATTATATTTGTTAGGGTTTAAGACTCCTTCCTCCACTTCAAAAATAGTTTATATATGGAACATAGCCAAACTGATAAAGTCAGAAGGCCTGTAAGTTGGAATTACTACTTGCATGATTGCTTATAAGAAGCTCAAGTATGATGGGAAAACATTTAAATGAAGCAGCCCTAACTATTGGTTCTCTACTCAGAAACAGTACCATATCAAATTAATAGCACATTGGGTAGGAAGGGGCTGCATAACTGAATTAAATCTACATGGCACATCATTTCAATTCTTTTGCAGATATACTGCCACTATTCACAGGGAAATGGGATGCACTAAATATACCAATCGGATTTATGATACACTTTGAATATAATTTTTTTATGCTGCCTTGGATTGAAAACATTCTGATTTAAGGGTCCTGCACAATACATTTTCCCTTTTCTATAGACCTAAGCAGAGTAGCTGAAATCCTATTTTTTAAAAGTGGGTATTTGATCAAATAGGAGCTTCTGCTTACTTCAAAGGAAATTTGCCTCTCTTGGCTAATGAAAAAAAATCTACTCTCATTTTAGGAAAGCTGTCTTGAGAAATAATATGTTAGATAGACTTTTAACAAAGAGAGAGTGGAAAAACTGTTTAATACCAGAAAATAAGAGATACACCTGTTCCTCTTGTTAAGACTTAATTTTTTAAAAAACAGTGAAAATATTCTCACAAATTCCCAAATGCATGCATGCTTGCTTGCTTATTTAAGAAAATTTATATTGCTGCCCAACTCACTCAGTGACTCCAAGCAGCTCACAACTATAAAAATCTAATATAAAAACTATAAAAAGCAATACCCCACCCCTCTCATGATAACAATCAATCAAATAAGCTACTTGAAGGGCTCCATCTCCCTCTGGGTTCCCCAGGGCTGTTGGCAAAAGCCTTGAGAAAGAGTGTCGAAGTGGGATCCAATCTTATTACTATGGGGATGATGCTCCATAGGGAGGGAAGAATATTGAATATGGAATATTCATTTCCCATAGGGAATACAAATATTCACTAAAAGCAACTGTTGGCTTTATCTGGTTCATGGCTGGTGGAACTCATCTCATTCCACTTAATGCATATGTTCCCAAAGCCATCATAAGAAGATCTGAGGAATAATGAGAAAACATTCAAAATCCATTGTCTCTATGTTGGTATTCATTGTGGGACTTTTAAATGTATCTAACTATAGACAGAGGGAAAGTGGATGAAATGAAATTGCTGGTTCTCTTCCTCCTTCCCCTTGTACTACTGAAACAAAAAAATCATATAAGTTATATTTGGTAAATATGTGCATATCTAAGTAAATTAATGCATACTGTATATGTGTGTATGTATGTGTAGGTAGGTAAATACGTGATAGATAGATAGATAGATAGATAGATAGATAGATAGATAGATAGATAGACAGACAGACAGACAGATGCATAAACTTGTCTCACCTAAAATTCAGTAAAACAACATTTCATAAAAAATAGTTTCTGTATTTCTTCTCTTGAAATATAACCTTGTAAGTGTCCACAGAGAAGGCAGATCAATACTATTCAATCAATACTGTACCCAGGCAAGTGAAATAAATTTGTTTATTTTAAACCACACTTTACTTATAGATGCTGAAAGCTATTCAAGACTCTTCTGTTTTCTTCTACAACGATTCAACATGATAGGTTGGATCAAAAAATACTGACCGGCCCAAAGTCATTCAGTGAGCTTCTATGCTTGAGAGGTCTGTTGAATATAGGTCATCATAGACATAGTCCAACAACTTAATCCTTACACTAGCTGTATCTGAGACAGCCAATCAATGTAAATATCATTCCATCATTGTAAACATCATTTTTACAGTTTAATTTCTGTGATAATTCCATCAAATAAGAAAACATCTCAGGTGCCTTTGAAATGACCAAATTAGCTGGTCTATCCTGAGCTGTTAAAAATGCATAAATTAAAATGCTACCTCTGCTGCAAATTTGTTGGATCAAATTTAGTTTTAAGTTGTGAAAAATCCTTAAAATAATTGGCACATAATTGATTTAAAGCCACTGTCTCAGCTTCTAAATTTATTGACCCCATGTGGTCATATGAAATTTTGGTGCCTTTGTAGAATAGTATTTTAATGTACATCAGTGGATTTAAGAGGAAATCCTCACTGCTACATATGTTATAGTAATATGATGTTGAATTATATACCAAAATGACTATGATGAATTACTGTGGCAGTGGTCAAAAGAATTGTATTAAAAAATTGAAGAAAAAAGGTATTATTCCAGATATTGATATGAGCCGAGGTGGCGCAGCAGTTAGAGTGCAGTACTGCAGGCCACTTTAGCTGACTATGTTCAGCAGGTCAGCAGTTCAAATCTCACCGGCTCAAGGTTGACTCAGCCTTCCATCCTTCCGGGGTAGGTAAAATGAGGACCCAGATTGTTGGGGGCAATATAAATATATATATACATTTCTTACTGGTGTACATCACTTAGAGAGTGCTTGCACTTAAAGCGGTATATAAGTCTCATAAATAAATAGATAAATAGATAGATAAATAAATAAATAAATATTAAGTTCCACTCTTGGAAATGTTGTATTATTATGTAAAAAATTCTTTTTCTATCTTTTGTTCCTAATTATATAGTATTATATGGTATATTTTATAAATCTTGACTATAACCTAAATCTTTATCTACAGTTTTCACCATAACTCTAACTCATGTTGTAATTTGTTAAATTTTGTTAAGGTCTTTAAGAGCTTTGGCAATATGTTTATTATTTGGTATTCTGCTTATATTTTATAAACTTATACAAATAAAAAAATTAATTTATTGTGAATTCTTTCATTAGGTAATTGTTTTCCATTTGATAATGTAACATGACTCTTTCTGGTATCACTTCATAATATAACAAAATTAATACAAGGCCCATTTTTTAATATTATAATATACTGTGGCTCAAATTCAGTCTTACCACATAATTTCAGCCATCACTGTCCACTCTATTTTGCCCTGGAAAGATCACTTCCTTGACCCATTTTACCTCAAACTCCACTGACGCAAACAATTACAAAATAGATAAGGATCTGGGGTGCTGTACGTGACTACTGCATAGCTTTCAGTGAAAATATTCATTAAATTATCTGAAGTTTGGAAAATTCATTAAAAATTATTTCTTATTCATTTAATTTCCAAAACTGTTTCATAGGCAACGGACTTACATGATGAGGGTACAAAGTAGGAAGAGAAAAACAACTAAATGGAAGCTTGATACTTGGCAACTAAACACAAAATGTTTCAAATATTGCAACAGCGATACATTCTTTATTCTAACCCCAGTTTAACAAAGACCATAATTCATTCCATAAAGCCATATTTCAGGACAACATTCCAAGTCAACAGTTTCAGATGATCTATCTGAAATATAATGGTTTGCTTTTGTACCTTCAATAAAAGTTTGAAATAAAAAGAAAACTAAGGTTTCACGGCAAGAGCTTTAGAGCCTTAGCAGAGTCTTGTAAGCACCTCTGGTTTAATACCAGTGGTTTTTCACCGTTTTCTAGAGTAAAGTGTCAAAGGCTTTCCTCAGATACTCTTTCTAGACTGAAATAACTTTATCCATTTTCAGTTTTGTTTTGTTTTTTAAAAAATCAGCATAAGCGTTAGACTGGAGATTCTGTTGCAAGATATCAATAAAATTCTGTTTATTCAGTATGGGGGTCCACAAAGAACTATGTCAGCTTTTGGGTACTGTAGGGGTTCTTGCAATGTCCATACCAAAGGCATGGGGAGAAGAGGTGGTATGACACCAGAAATCCCAAGGGTCAACTTTCCCCCTTCTCTCCCAATGCCTTAATTAGTATGGAAAATAATTGGAAAAAACATGTCTTCTGCTGTCAATTTATTTATTTATTTTAAGCAATTTATATAGCTGCCCATTTCATAAATGATAACGGGATAGTGTATAAGGCTAAAAATAATTAATGAATTAAATGTATACATATAAACCAAAGTAAAATTTCTCTGGACAAGAGAAGGCCTAGTTTTTTTTCCCTCCCCTTTTCTCCACCATAGCACAAAAAATGGGGTGAAAGTTTCTTTGCACTGAGAGTCCCATGGTAAAGCTAGCTACTTTCTTCGGCTTCACTGTGGGGCTGCTGGCTGCAGCTCTTCCCAGCAACCCATGGTGGTGATGTGAAGCTGTGGGCAACTTCATTAGTGAGCTGCCAACCACTTCTGCAGCATTCCTATAGCAAAGCAGTCCACAGTGAAGCTGCCCATGGTTTCACTACAGGGCTTCTGCAGTAGAACTGCCATCTGGCAGCTTTGCAGGGTGGAGAACGTTCTATAAGGTAAAGGTAAAGGTTTCCCTGTCCAGTCATGTCTGACTCTATGGGGTGATGCTCATCTCCATTTCTTAGCCGAGGAAGCCAATATTGTCTGAAGACATTTTCCATGGTCATGTGGTCAGCATAGCTATACACCAAAGGGGCATGGAATGCTGTTACCTTCCCACCAAAGTGGTACATGTTAATCTACATGCTTACAAACTTCTAGGTGGGCAGGAGCTGGGACAAGGAACGGGAACTCACCCTGTTATGTGACACTGAATCTTGAACCCGGGCTGACAGCTGACAATCTCAGCATCTTTAATACCTGAGCCATCACACCCCCGAACATTCTATACTTGTGGCAAAATTCTACAGCAAAGTTACAGAGGTGAACAGCAGTACCAAGCTGTGGAGAATACTGTAAACAGTAAGACTTTTTTCAGATGCCAAGGAAGAAGGAAAACAAGGGGAGGCTACCTTTGTAGTAGCCAGAGCCAGATTGAAGATGAGTTCTTGGTTTCATAATCTGAATGGGGCTTCCTGACACCTGGGTATGCAGGATGTGTGGCTGAGTTTGTAATACAAAAGTACCTGAGGTAAATAAGCTCACTATTTTTCTTCTCTGCTCTTGTTAAGGTATTTCATAGATCACTAGGGACAGCTAGACAAGGGGAGAAAATCTTTTAACATGTCTTTGGTTGACCAAAAGACTCTCCTTTGTTCACTTGCTTTTAATGTGACAGAGGCAACAGGTGATTCTTTTCATGTTTCCATTAAAAGTCCTGTTCAACCATTTTGCTTTATTCACTTTTGTTTTCTCATATCCATATCCAAAACATGGCCAGAACCTGCAAAAGAATATAGGATAGAAGTTAGAATGGCTATACTCCTGCTCACACAAAACATATAAAACACGTACAAACTGCCCACAAAGAGATGATTCAAATTTCTCCTCTTTTCTTCCTTACATAATAATAATAATAGACTTTTTTCTAAATTTACATTTCTTAAGAAATTTATACACACAAAGAGCAAGTTTTATTCAAGTTTTATTATCCGGATAAAATACTCTTTTCTCAAAATGTATCTTAGCAAGTTGTGAAATAATCCCATCATTTCAATGAGCGAAATGATCAGGACATTTTGTCAAAGTTATCATTTTTTTTGCCCATCTTGAATCTCAATTTTCATGATTAAATGCTCAGTATTTTCTTTTTTCATAGTTATTCTATATTGACAATACATAATATCTCTGATAATTGTGAACACACTAATGAATTGACAAAAATCAAGATCAATTATAATTTGAAATGGTTTCTGTATTTGTGTGGATCATCTATCTATCTATCTATCTATCTATCTATCTATCTATCTATCTATCCCTCTCTCTCTCTCTCTCTCTCATCTCTTGCATTTGTAATAAACTCAACTTGCCCTAAACTTTTGCTCAAATGAATAGGGTAATAGGAATGATTTGATGTTTATAATTATCAACTTTAATCTGAGCTACAGAGTCATCAGCAGAGAAAAAACAAAATCTACTACATTTATGCAAATTTGTCATCACGGTCTATATAAAAATGGAGTCTTCGGGTGACAAAAATCAAAATTCCCATCGTGTATTTGACAAAGCACGGTTGCAGAGTTGGTTTCTGCTATGGCCAACAAGAAGATTTCATTGAAAGGTATGTCTTATTTGTTATTCTTTTCCATGTTTTTTTTTTCTGAATAAGAGTAATTTTGTAAAAGAAAAAGTAATAACATAATTTTGACTAATAAAAATTAAGCATTTTGCAATCTGTTATGTAAGGGAAATATATATTTAAGAATTAAAAAAAACCAAGAACTTGTGGAAATCCTATTAAATGAATGGGAATTCCACAAGACCGTGTTATGTCCTTAAGGGATAGATTATATCCATGGTTTAGCATTATTCTATATACTAAAGAGAGTATCAGATGTTTTCAGTGCTTTCAATTTATTTAAAAATAAAACTGTTATGGGGCTGCTTTTCTGGACTATTCCAACCAAAATAAAGTACACCCTATGAATGACCAATCAGACATAAATTTAATTGAAAGCTAATGGAGCACCCAAATGGAATACTGTATATAAGATTGCTGTTTGTTAAGTATTTCTAAGAATAAAGACCTGCTTAAGATGATAAAATGCTTTTCCCATGCTACCTAAATATTAAAGACTTGTGTATGTTGGTATTGTATATTCTAGTGTATTCAATGTAATTTACTCCATGTGTGTGTCCATAGAATATTGCAATTTGCAGTGAGGTTGATAGACTCAAGTTACAGTGACAATGGGTGCACTGTTGGAAGACCTGAAAAATCAGGTTAGAGAAAAATTGTCAAGGAGAAAATCTATCTATGATACCAACTCCATGGCATAAATATTATCAACCAATCTGTACAGAGTTTAACTATGTTTGGCAGTAGTTCCTTTCCATTCTTTGCATTTTAAAAGAGAACTTTAGAGGTTCAACGAGTTCCCATAAAGATACTACACCATTGCTGTAGTTTGGACATAACTAAACTATGGACTCACTAATACTACAAAAGGTTTTCCAAAGCAAGGTCCAGGACCAGTTTCACATAACAGACACAATGCTGGATATTGAAAACAAAATTAGAGTGCTACAATACCAGTCTAAAGTACTGAATTCAGAGCAGGGAAAACTACCATGTATTTGATCAGAATCTTTGTTCATGTAAGCAATGTTTTCTACTTTAACAGGGTATGGGGCATAATGTAAGACTGAAATCTTTCTGATTCCTTATATATGATTTATTTAATGATTTGGTACATGCTCTCACCACACTCATTTGTTTTTGTAAAAAACAAGGCATAGAACATTGTCTAATCAATATACTGATTTATCAGTAATTAATTTTAAAGATTTTGTATGAGACATAATCTCAGGAGATCTTTGGCTCTCTTAAGATATTCAGCACCAACTTCCTTAAAAGTTGTTCATGCCAAAGTCTTTAAATAGCACAGCTGCTGAAAAATTGCAGGCAGCATCTCAAGACAATCTAAAATCTAGATAGTGATCTACTTACCTTCCCTCAAATTTAATTTTACAACCATATGTTTGTCAAGAAGGAAGTCACTCTTGGAAACAGCTATAAAGGAAAGGGGCTTAACTACACTTCCACACTTTTACACTTATTGTCGCTATGATTATTGTTATTACATAGTTTATATCCTACCTCGGCTAAGGTGAAAAGGTTGAATTCCTCAAATATGGTTATTTAAAGAAGTCAAGCATTAAAGTAAGAGGTCACGGAATACTAAACAGAGTTTTCTCTTTTCTTGATTTACTTCATTTTATGGGTATATGCCTTTTTCTTTTTGTCTTCAAGGCCTGTTTCTAGCCACTGTGCTGCTGGCTAATATGTTCCTTTCAAGGAAGTGTGTAACATCGTCACCCATTTGCCCTAATGGGTCCGACAACTGCCAGGTTTCTCTTGGGGATCTTTTTGACCGGGCCGTTAAACTATCCCATTACATCCACTCTCTGTCTGCTGAAATATTCAATGAATTTGTAAGTAATTTTGGTATAAGGAAAAGACTTATCATGTGTTCCTGAACAACAACTCCAGGCATCCCTTGTCATTGTTAGTTGTAATCATTTCTGGACATTGTAGATTAGTAATGTCTAAACTACCTCAGGTTGCCCACCAGTACTTTATGAAAGTAATTATGATTTTTAACTATAGTTTTCTTATTTCTTCTGGTTCCATTTCACAATGGGTAAAACATAAAGTATTTGCTCAGTGTTTATTATCTATTTAGAAATGTAATTTCATAAGGCAGCCTTTATTATTGCTAGGTTGCATCACGCAAAAGTTATTGCTTATTGAAATTAAAAGATTATTATTAATAATAATAGTAATAGTAGTAGTAGTAGTAGTAGTAGTAGTAGTAGTAGTAAAGTTGGAAGGGACCTTGGAAGTCATCTAGTCCAACCCCCTGCTCGGGCAGGAAACCCTACACCATTTCGGACAAATGGCCGTCCAGTGTCTTCTTAAAAACTTCCAGTGTTGGAGCATTTACTGCTTCTGGAGGCAGGTTGTTCCACTGATTAATTGTTCTCACTGTCAGGAAGTTTCTCCGTAGTTCTAGATTGCTTCTCTCCTTGATTAGTTTCCACCCATTGCTTCGTGTCCTGCCTTCAGGTGCTTTGGCAAATAGCTTGATTCCCTCTTCTTTATGGCAGCCCCTGAGATATTGGACTACTGCTATCATGTCCCCCCTTGTCCTTCTCTTCGTTAAACTAGACATACCCAATTCTAGCAACCGTTCCTTATATGTTTTAGCCTCCAGTCCCCTAATCATCTTTGTTGCTCTTCTCTGTACTCTTTCTAGAGTCTCAACATCTTTTTTACATCGTGGTGACCAAAACTGGATGCAGTATTCCAAGTGTGGCCTTACCAAGGCATTGAAGAGTGGTATTAATACTTCACGTGATCTTGATTCTATCCCTCTGTTAATGGAGCCTAGCACTGTGTTGGCCTTTTTGGCAGCTGCAGCACACTGCTGGCTCATATTTAGGTGATTGTCTACTAGGACTCCGAGGTCCCTCTCACAGTTACTACTATTGAGCATGGTGCCACCTATGCTGTACTTGTGCATTTGGTTTTTCTTGCCTAAATGTAGAACCTTGCTTTTTTCACCATTGAATTTCATTTTGTTAGTTAGTGCCCAGTGTTCAAGTCTGTCCAGATCCTTCTGTATCTTAAGCCTGTCTTCTGGAGTGCTGGCTATTCCTGCCAGCTTGGTGTCGTCTGCTTAATTAATGCGATTCTTAAACTACAGGTAGTCCTCGACTTACAACAGTTCGTTTAATGACCATCTGAAGTTACAAGGGCACTGAAAAAAACAGACAAACTTATAACTGTTCTTCACACTTATGACTGCAGCAGCCCCGTGGTCATGTGATCAAAATTCAGACGCTTGGCAACTGACTCATATTTATGGCAGTTGCAGTGTCCTGGGATCATGTGATCCCCTTTTGCAACCTTCTGACAAGCAAAATCAATAGGGAAGCCAGATTCACTTAAGAACAGTGTTACTAACTAATTCTCTTAACAACTGTGGCAAAAAAAATCTGGGGTGGCACAGTGGTTGGAATGCAGTACCGCAGGCTAACTCACTGCTTACTTCAGGAGTTTGACTCTGACCGGCTCAAGGTTGATTCAGCCATCCATCCATCCTACCGAGGTCGGTAAAATGAGGAGCCAGATTGTTGGGGTCAATATGCTGACTCTGTAATCCGCTTAGAGAGGGCTGTAAAGCACTGTGAAGCGGTATGTAAATCTACATGCTATTAGTATTGCTAAAATGGAGCAAAATTCACTCAACAACTGTTTTGCTTACTGTAGCAACAGAAATGTTGGGCTCCATTTTGGTGGTAAGCGGAGGACTACCTGTATTTGTGAAAAAGTTATCAAAGCCCCATAATAAAAGAAGCTACACAAGCTTTTAAGTGGATTTCTAGACTGGAAGCCGACAAGATATTATATTTCATATACAGAGTTTTCAGAATCTGTTCCAATACAGTTTTCATCAGTGAAAAAAGCCCACCTCTATTCCTTTTAAAGATGGAAATCCTATTATTTCTTAAGACGCAAGAGTAGGAAATCGGATGGGGCAGATAGTTACGTCTCATTAATAGATCCATTGTAGTGAAAGCTTCATCTACCCTGGGGGAACCGAACCTCAACAAAGGATGTGGAAGAAGGAAAACATTGTCTTCTGTACAAAGAAGTCATTTAAAGTAACAAAATGAAAATATGGAAGACTAAGTAACAAACGTCCAAGTGAAAGGTTT